AAGAAGGCTTGGGTCAAATTCTTTCTGGCAGGACCTGTGTGTTGTGATTTTGGGGTCCCAGGACCCTTGAACCCCTAAACCACATCAAACATTCCCTGAGTCTAAACGTGTATATCTCATCCTGCGCCTCTAACCTATCACCAATATGATAATTTGTAAAAAACATGCTACATTATTAGTCTTCTCAAGTTCGGGTTGGTCCCTTCAGAGAGATAAGAATTTTGAAGTCTTTCAAAGTCATTTTCCTTTGCATTTTTGTTGTAATTGTGCAAATTACTTTCCTAGTTCTTCTCATTTCACTCTGCATCCAAGGTTTCCCTAGGCTTCTCCTAAATATTTGTCATTCCTTAAGGTGCAATAATAATTCTATCACATTCACGTACCATAATTTTAGTCATTGCACAGTTGAAGGGCACATAATTTGCATTTTTTGCATGACAATGGTGTTCTAAATATTTTTGCATACCTGGGCCATTGCCCAGAAAGTCTCTTTGGGATATAGACCAGTAGTGATATTGCTGGGTCAAAGGATATGCACAATAACTTTTGGGGCATAGTTCTTAAATTGCTTTCCCGAATGTCTGGAGTAATTTACACCTCCTCCAATAGTGCATTAATACACCTGTTTTCCCACAGCCCATCCAGAATTAGACATTTTACTTTTTCTCAACTCTGCCAATCTGACAGGTGGGAGGGAGAACCTCAAAATTGCTTTAAATTTGCATTTTTCTGGTTATTTGTTCTTTGGAGCATTTTTTCATGTGACTATAGATAGCCTGGATTTGTTCAGTGTTGCTTCCTAAGCATTTAGGGAACCAGGCAGAGGCCTTGGCAACAGGAGTACCCATGGCAGACTTTGGCCTTTGGAAGATCAGGTTTTGGGGGAAGGGGAGGATGGAGATGGTGGTTATGTAGATGAACACCTCACCTAGTAAAAGTGGGTAAAGAAACTGTCCTGCCATTCCTTCACTCTTATCATCCTTGTTTGGAGAAAGTCTTTCTCCTCACCCAACCTCCATCATTAGAATGTAAACTCCTTGTATTCCCGGTGTTTAGTACAGGGTCTCACAAATAGTAAGCATCTAATAAATGCTTGTCGAACTGATTAATTTTTAATATTTGCCATGTATTCTGATGGAACTCTGTAACTCCTTATTTATATAATCGTGGGGGAGCCCAGATTATGGAATGGGAGCAGAGCAAATTAAAATCAAGTAGAAAATTATGAGTAGGGAGGGGAAGGGAGTTTAGGGTGGGGGAAAGTATTATTAAATTGTAATACCCTATTGGTCCTGTGTATGGGATTTAGGAATGAAAATGGCAAACCAATTATCTTATTTGGTAAAAATGTCCATACAAATTCATGCCAAGTACTACTGACTTTAAACTATTCCCTGCTCTTTCTATTCAGCGGCTGTCTCCCTTGGGCCTCCAGGATCAAATATCCTATCTTCTGATTGGATAGGCTGGCCCCTGACCTCCTTTGCTGCTCTTTCCAGAAGACATTCCTCCATCTCCTTATTTGAGGCGTTTTCTCTGGCTGTTCCCTCCTGTGCCTGAAATGCTCTGCTTCCTCATCTTTGCCTTCTGACTTCCCTGGCTTCCTTTCAAACTCCAGTTAAAATCCTGCCTTCTCCAAGAGGTCTTTTGTATTCGCCTGTATCCCCACCACCCAAGTGCTTTCCCTCTGAAATTACCTCTTTTGTTTGTACATAGTGGTGTGCCTGTTGTTTCCCTCATTAGATTGTAAGCTCCTGGACAGCAGGGACTGTTTTTGTCCCTTTTTTTGCATCTCCATCTCACAGCATAGTACCTGGTACCATAGAAGGCACTTAATAAATAAATGCTAGTTTACTTGATTTGAATTGAATTTCTCCTTTCTATCTCCTCTTATAGGAAACATCATTGGTTCAGGAATTTTTGTCTCACCAAAAGGTGTTCTGGAGAATGCTGGTTCTGTGGGCCTTGCTTTGATTATATGGATTGTAACGGGGCTCATCACAGCTGTGGGTGCATTGTGTTATGCTGAACTTGGAGTTACTATCCCTAAATCTGGAGGTGACTACTCTTATGTCAAGGACATCTTTGGAGGCCTGGCTGGGTAAGGTTATTAGCTGGGGAACGCGGTACCTTTGAGCAGAGGAAAATGGGATAACCTGGGAAATCTAGGATCCTATCACTTGGGTTCCTTGTGCTATTTCTTGAGTGGGTGATTGGGGATCCTCAGTGACCCTAATTGCACTTCATCAGCCTCCAGTGTGTCCCAAGACCTTAAGTACCATTCCTTGGAAAAGGGGAGCTGTAGAAGTCCCTCAACTGACTCAGACACACAACTATAAATTTGGAGTTGGTCCCCCTTTTTGTCTATTATTAAAATAAGATGCCTGTCCTTTAAGAAGAAATGTTGGTGCATGTATAACCTATATTAGATTGCTTACCCTCTCGGGGAGGGGGAAAAGAAGGAAGGAGGGAAAAAATTTGGAACCCAAAATTTTTTTAAAAACATGTTAAAAATTGTTTTCATATGTAATTGGAGGGAAATATTAAAAGAAAAACACAAAAGTGAAACAACTAAATATGTTATGTGCCATTTATATTATAAAATACAGTTTAAAAAAAAAAGACATTTGTATTGGTGAAATGAGGTGGATAGATGTCCAGATTTCTGTTGGTTTGGGACAAATGGTAATTCAGGCCAAGTAATCTCATACCAGAATTAACCTAATTTTAATATGGGACAATTGGCCAATTTGTCTAGTACCTAGAGTCATTTTCATTATGTCCTTTCTTGGGACAACTGGAGCACTGAGGAAAGCTAGAGAGGGGGATTTATCAGTTGCCTCTTAGACCCCAGTGTTGGTATGGCTCCATCTTGGGAATTTCTCTAAGTTGCTCCAGTCTGATAGCATTAGCAGAATCAGGTACAGGGTTCTTATACCTGTCATCATCTTTACTGTAGAGTGCCTCAAAAACAAAGAAAACCACACAGCTCTCATCATGGAGTCAACCTGTGAGAGCTCTGGATGCACAAAACATTCTATTGTTTTTGTTCATTCATCTTAACTAATGAGACTGGTCATCTTCCCATCACTGGAAGAAATACTAGTCCTGCTCTTTCCACATTAACAAGGCTCACTGCTCTGAGAGGAATCCTCAATTCTATGTTCCTAGTTCTTCCTCAAATGCCAAGCAATGTCTACAGTTCTTTTAGGAAAAGCTTAGCCCCATCCTTTACTTTGTCTCTAAAGAGAAGGGTGTAAAGAGCTCCTCATCCCACCTATGCTGGTCCTCCAGAGACTAACCCTCCTTGCTTGGCTGTGAGGGGGAATTGCAGGAAGTATGTTTGGTTTTCTCTCTCTTTCATTCTTTCTGTCTCTCTCTTTTTCTCTCCCCCCACCCCCCAATCACTGAAGAACTAGGAGCCAGGGTGGTGGAAACACAGAGGTGGGGGGAGTAGGAGGGGGAGGGAGGCAGAAGGAACCCTGAAAGTCTGTGCTAATAAATGCCTATGCTATTACTTGCTGAAACATTAACAATAATTGCAAATAAAACACGTCACAGCCTGAAAGGACATGCTTCTCACTTCTTTGTGGTTTAACACTTTAATAAACTTGAAAGATAAAGGTTACTCCCTTCTAACTCCCTCCTTTCCACAAAGGCTGCCCTCAAGTTTTCCAGGTACCCTTTTTTGGAGGGAGTTGTATCTTTGCTAGCCCTGAAGGCAGGGACTCAATTGAATTCATGCTCTGTCTTCTTCCTTCCATCAGGTTCCTAAGGCTGTGGATTGCTGTGCTAGTAATCTACCCCACCAACCAGGCTGTCATTGCTCTCACCTTCTCCAATTATGTGCTGCAACCACTCTTCCCCACCTGTTTTCCTCCAGAGTCTGGACTACGACTCCTGGCTGCAGTCTGCTTATGTGAGTACCTGCTGAGTCCCCCCGTTGTTGGTTGAGTGCCCTCCTCGAAGTCCTTGTGTTCTTGATTCTACTCTCTCTTTCTTATTATTTCTCCTCCTTTAACCTACATTCCACTTGCTGGTGTCTAGAGAAATCCTTGTATTTGCAAGTGTCTATACTATGAGTCTCACCAGACTTGTCAGATTTCATGACAGTGGGTCCATACCTGCCTACACCTTAACCTAGAAACAGATGTTTCATAAGCACCCATAAAAAAGATTTATAAGGTAGGGTCCATGTCCTTGAAGTTTATATTCCAACTGGGTTGACAAAGTACAGATATAAGAGAGGTAGCATCTAATGTAGCTCTGTGACTATAGGTCAGTCACCTGACTTAACAGATCTTCAGTTTCTCCATCTGTGAAATGGGAACAAGAATGCTTGGTACTACTTAGTGACCTCAGAAGGTTGTTGTGAAGAAACTGCTCTGTAAAAAATGCACAGCATTATATAAATATGAGCTGTAGGAAACAACCAGAATTATTCACACTTATGCACACACAGATGTTATATATGTGTATAATTTATATGCCTAAACATACACATACATAGCTATAGCTTGGAATATGAATATATTCCAAGTATATAGGTATTGGGAACGCCCAGATAAAGAACTTCAGGTCACTAATGTAGATAAACACTTTCTCTGCATCTTACATTCTTAGAGAATTACCTAGAGCCCTGAGTAGTTAAATGAGTTGCCCTAGTTCACAAAGCCAGCTTGTATCAGAGATGTTAGACTTGAACTTGGATCTTCTTGGATCCACCCACTACTCCATGTTACCTCTCACGTATACAGAGAGGTATTGTCCCAAAAGTTGGGTTGTCTCAAAAGTCTTAGTGTAACTTTAAGCTTTAACAGCTTGCTCTAGGACACTCTTAAGACTATGATCCGTAATAGCTTACAACTATGTTAAGACTTTTAGAACATTGTGAACATACATATTGTACATATAGTGTGTATGTGTTCACATAGTGTGCTCTGCCTGATGCAGTCTGCCATGTGGACTTTGGAGCAGGAGCATATGAACGTAATCTTTGACTGTTTCCAGTCCCTTCACTGCATTTCCTTTTGATTGACTTCTGAGCCTGAGTGAGTAGGCAATAGCTGTTTTAAGCCTCCAGGTATAATGAATGATTTAGTTTTAGGCACTTTAATTGAAAGTGATTTAAAATATCACCTAGTCTACCTATGCTAGACCAAATACTGGAATTGGTTGATTTTTTTTTCCCCTGTAGCCCCTCTTGACTCAATCCCAACTCACAATGATTTTTCCTTTCCATGAAACTCTATAGCAGTGATCATAGATTAGAATTTAGCAGTTAATCATAATAATTATATGCATAGACATACAGATATGGATTAGATTGCCAGATTTAGGTGGATTTCCATGACAGATCTATAGCAGGACAAAGGCAAAGGTCCTACAGAATAATCAGGAATTGATAGATGTCAGTCTGCTTTATTGGAGGGAGTACTTGAATTCAATAAATCACAGATCCATAAGTACCAGTGGGGCTAACTAATTGCCTTCTCCACCCACCCACCCTTTCCAATATTATGCCCCCAACACAGTCATACACTTAATTTACTGCTGCTATACTATCTAGATCCCTTAATGCAGCCCTGACTGGTTTATCGGTTAGATTATAGATCATTAACCATTCCAAAGTATTGTTCCAAGGTCCTGATTGATCCCTTTTGTTTGGACTGTTGGTGAAGGCTGGGGAGGTTTAAGGGGATAGTGACTTCTAAGGCCTGACTGTCCTCATTGGATTCGACCATGCACCAGAACTGTCTCTTGCAATGGGTAGGCCATCATTGGCATTGGTATCATAGGTTGTCTCGAGGCATTGCCTTCCAAAGGACTCCTATAGTAATGGAAAGTTGTTGTTCAGTAAGTAAGGAAGAAAATATCCAATATCACGAGGGGGTTTCAAATATATACTCACCTCTATATGCTCCAGGTCTACAGTGTTTAGACAGCATCAAGCAGCTAAGCACCTGGGCACTTACCTGGGTGACTGGAGAGCAATGCCTATAGCTCCAAGGAGGAGCTTTTGGGAAGGCAGGAATGGTTTTTTTTTGCCTTTTGTTGCTGGACAAACTTACTTTTGGTTGAACTCTGAAAAACAACCAAAATGCTGGCCACTGCTATTTCTGTCTCTCATGGGTGAGCACACAGACTCACAATTTCCTCTTTCCTGCTGATGTTGCTGAAAGCGTCTTAGGCTGGAACTAGATAGTATCATGGATTCTAAGAGCTGGAAAGAACCCTTAGTGGTCATCAAGTTCATACTCTTATGATTAGATAGCTTCATAACAGGGCAAGAAAATATTCCCAGTGACAGGTCCACAGGTAGAATTCCTAACTCATTCTCCTTTGCCCTACATTCTCCAAAGCATATGAAATTCGCATTATACTCAGGCTACTGGGCACATAACCATCTTTGGCATATGTGCCCCACTGTCCTCCCACAATGCAGCCAAATTGCCCTGAGCCTTCTTAGATGGGTAAGAATCTCTCCTAGTTTTTTGTTTTGGTTTTTCGTTGGGTTTTTTTTTTTTAGGCAATTGGGGTTAAGTGACTTGCCCAGGGTCACACAGCTAGTAAGTGTCAAGTGTTTGATCTGAGACTGGATTTGAACTCAGGTCCTCCTGACTTCAGGTCCGGTGTTCTATTCACTGTGCCACCTAGCTGCCCTTCTCCTAGTTTTTAATAGATGCAGAGAGGTAGATTTCACAATCTCTGTCAGCAACCTATTCCAGCATCTGACAAGTACTAGGGATAGAGCCAGGGAAGGAATTTTAAAGCCTGGCTTGGAGAATTGATCATGAGACCCATAGGTTAGGGAGGATCACCAAAGGTCATCTGGTCTATTCCCCCTGGATTTCTAGATACAATTGTATCTAAATTATCTCAGACGGCCAATTATCAACTCCTTAGCCTCCAGAAAGAATAATTCCAAAATCTCCTTTGCTAATAAGTTCCCATTTCTCTTATCAGCCTCATCAGTTAAAACAAACAATTCTTTCCTTGTTGTTCATCTAAATCCTTCTTGCTCTAATTTAAATTTAGTCCTTTCCTGTGTTCCTCTAAAGAAGGTGAAAAACAGCTAAGGGTTAGAATCCCACTTGATATTCTTACTTAACTGACCTTTAGCAAATCACTTAACATCCAATCCTCATTTTCAGGTGGTTGGACTAAGGTCCATTCTATGATCCTATAACAGGATGATCTTTAAGGATTCCTTCCAGAGTTAAATCTATGAAAGCTCTGATTGCAACAATATCCCTTTATTTAACTTTAAGTCAGTGTTAAACATTATGTTTAATAAGTTCCCTCCTATGTTTTAGGCACTATGTCAAGCTCCTTATTCCACTCCCCCGTATCCTCTTCTTTAGACAAAGTACCCCAAATTCCTTTGACCTGGCTTCACAGATTCTGTTTAAATCACTTTCCCTTAGATCTTCTCCCATAGGGTTCCTCACATTTCCTGATGTATAGATAATATGACTAAGGTAGGTATATATCTAATATAGATTAGAACTAGGTTGCCAGGGCAATTATCTGGAAAAGGCAGCTTCATTTAAAGGGACAACCTGTGTCAGAGGTGACCTACTTAAAATGCCCGTTGTTATTTTGAGCTGAAATTTGACAGCATTTGCCATTTTTTTCCGGAGTGGTGGAAATGGGAAGTGGAAGGGAGTAGCATTTATAGAGTGCCCACTATGAGCCAGGTACTGTGCTAAGCACTTTACAAATATCACATTTGATCCTCTCAACTACCCCGGGTGGTAGGAACTATTATTGTCCCCATTTTACAGTTGAGGAAACTGAGGCAAACAGATTACATGACTTGCTGATGGTCACATAGGTAGGAATTATCTAAGGCTGGATTTTAATTCAGGTGTTCCTGGCTCTATGACCAGCAGTCTATCCAATGTACCACTTAGGGGAATGATTTTCTTTGGAAACCTTAATTTATGCTATGTATTTTTAGCATACAGGGTGGTAGATGTAAAAGGGATCCAATATGATGCCTGGGAATGCTCACCACATCCAGAGCTGGAGGATCTGTGTTCAAATCCTGATCTAGGGCAAGTCATTTTTCTTTTCTGGGTCTCAGTTTCCTCCAGTTGTAAAAGGAAGGAGCTGAATGAGATAGATGACTCCCCAGTTCTCTTCTAACACTTAATACTATGATCTTCAAGTTCACCCTCTCATTTTTACAGATAAGTAAATTGATCTCCAAAGAGGGTAAGTGAGTAGTAGAGTTGGTGTATATAGTTTTAATGATTTTTTTTTAAAGTGGGTAATATGAGGGAATCTGAAAGTTAGGGAGGGGAAAACTGCTATGTAATGAGTAACATCCAGTTTAGTAGATCAGTGTGTTGTAGGGAAGGGATGTGTGCTTAGGAAATTCAGAGTCTTAGGACTGTGCCTGAATGTGGGAGGTATTGAGATGGAGTAACCATTATGGGGCTACTTTGGAAGAGATCTGAGATATGACAGATGGGGAAGGAGGAAAGGAGGAAGAGGAAAGAACTTGCTGCAACTGGTTTGCTTTTGCTGTGCCTTGGTCAGGGGTGAAGGTGGGGAGGGGTAAAGACGGGGAGGAGTAGAGACTGCAGACTTGGATGGATTTGTGCAATACAGCTGCTGCTTAGTTCTTTCATTATTCAGGTCAAAGCCGATTATTCACTGCTGAGTCAGCGAAATCACCCCAACCTACAGTTTCAGAAAAGAGAAGGATTGTACATTATAATTAAATGAAAAGCTCTTCTCCCATCCAGAGAATGTGTGTATTTGGAGAGAGGAAGGAAAGGCAGAGGAAAACGGGTCTCTTTTTTTGTGTGTGTGTGCTCTTTTTATCAACACTTCTGGTTATAAGAATGTTAAAATTTTTTTTACATGTAAATTGGGAGGAAAATAAAGTACTCAGTTAAAAAACACTTC